AGAGTGATGACCCGCCTTCCAGCTGCTGCTGCGCAGCCTACGGAGACCCAGGGGGGCCCCCCATCAGGGGCCCCCCAACCAGGGGGCCCCCCTGTGGGGGCCCCTGTTACTCAAGTAAGTCTGATGAAACCCCCAGGGAGAAGAAGGGCCCCACGGGGCCCCTGCATGCAGCCGATTTGGTGCTAGCTGCTGCTGCTGCTGCTTCTGCTTTAGGGGGGAGATGACGCCCTCATAAACACTGCCGGCATATTATGCCGTTGGGCTTGTGCTGCTGCTGCTGCTGCTGCTGTTACTGTTGCTGCTGCTGCTGTCGTTGCGTGCTTTCCTCAGGATGCAGAAGAGAGCGAGACGCAGGGCGGTTCCCCTTCTGCTGCTGCTGCACCTGAAGCAGCAGCAGCAGATGCTGCTACTGCTTCTGCTGCAGCCACTGCTCGTGAACAAGTAGCAGCAGGTGCAGCTGCTGCTGCTCCTTCTTCCCCTGAAGCAGCAGCAGCAGCAGCAGCAGCAGGAGCAGGAGCAGGAGTTGTTGCAGGGGTGAAGCAAGCCTGCTCATCATGGGCTTCTTCTGGCATGCGTCTGGTGGCTCTGAGTGCTCTGCGGATGCGGGCGGGGCCCCTGAGGGGGGGGGCCCCCAGGGGGGGCCCCCCTGGGGCGCGTAGGAACGAGGGGGGGGGGCCCCCCCTGCCTCGTGTGCGGGTATTCCCAGGGCTGAACTCGCCACGAGCAGAGCAGTTTGCTGCTGTTGTGCTGCTGTTGGTGACAGCTCTCTGTGCCTTTGTTGCAGTTGCAGGGGACCTGCTGGCTGCTGCTCTGCTGCTTGTCTCCTTGCTGCAGCAGGCGTGGGCCCTTGTCTGTGTATCGGGTAGACATATGACAGAGTGGCTAGCTGGCTTCTACAGCTAGCTAGCTGCTGCATCCGCTGCGGCTGCACGCCGCGCAATACCACTAGCTAGCTGGCTAGCCAAGGCAACAGACGGCTTAGCTAGCTGGCTAGCCAAGGATACAACTGACTCACCTAGCTGGCTAGCCACCGCAGCAGTCGAGCTAGTTAGCTAGCTAGCTAGCTAGCTAGCTGGCTAGCCAAGGCGACAATTGATCTACCGGGCTGGCTAGCCAAGGCGACTGCAGAGCTAGCTAGCTGGCTAGCCAAGTCGACTGTAGAGCTAGCTAGCTGGCTAGCCAAGTCGACTGTAGAGCTAGCCAGCTGGCTAGCTGGCTAGCCAACACAACATGACTTAGCTAGGTGGCTAGCCAGCCAGTTTGCATTGAGGGGCGGGCTCGCGCGAGCCCCCAAGAGGGCCAAACTTACTAGACAATTTGTTTGCTTCACAATACAATGCACGAGCCAGCGCGTACAAAAACATGAAGCTAGCTAGCTAGCTAGCTAGTTAGCTAGCTGGCTAGCTACCTGGCTAGCTAGCTGGCTAGCAAGCCTCTCTTCAGCTAGCTCTACTTAGATAAATACTCATAACTAAAGGCTCAGTGGTCGTTATAAGAACAATAGAAGGTAGGGGGCATTAGAAAGCTTAGAGCTAGCTAACTAAAACCAGCTCAGGTAGCAGCTAGCTGCCTAGCTAGCCAGGTATATCTGCAGCTAGCTGCCTAGCTAGCCAGGTATATCTGCAGCTAGCTGCCTAGCTAGCCATCGAGAGGAGGAAGCTGAGCCGTGCAAAAGGTTAAAAGCAGCGTTTGGTCTGTTTGTGTGTGAGACAAAAGGCATTAATATCCGTACAGCTAGCTAGCCCNGTTAAAAGCAGCGTTTGGTCTGTTTGTGTGTGAGACAAAAGGCATTAATATCCGTACAGCTAGCTAGCCCCAACAATTGGTGGCTAGCTAGCTGTAGCTAGCTGTAGCTAGCTGTAGTTAGCTGCGCCTAGCAGTCTATCTGGCTGCAGCTGTCTCCTCATCAGCGGCGTTGACTGCGGTGGGGTTGTTGTACTAACACTGCGATGAAGAGGGGCCCCCATCAGGCCGAGTTAAGCGTGGGTTTCTCCTGCTTTCCAGCTATCATCCTGGCTGGGTGAGGCCCAGTGTAGGTCTGAGTGGGGGCCCCCATGGGCCCCCCCTCCCCCATGTGGGCCCCCACCCCCTTGGGGGCCCCCTGTATTCCCCCCCGCTGCGTGTGCCTCGTATGCAAACCACTGTCTAGAACGCATGCGTACGAGTCTGAGGTCATCGTGTGCTACTAGGGTTTGTAGTTCATCAGGCAGCAGCACAAACTCTTCTTTTCTGTTGTTTATAGCTATGCTGATGGCTCTGCCTGAGGGGAGAGTTTGCATGCGTCTGACGACCCCACGCAGATGCTGCTCGTTGCCTGATGGCAGCCCCAATAGAGCTTTGAAACGAACACATATAGGGGTGTTAGGTACGAGCTGTGCTATGCTTGCTTGTACTCTTGGGTCTTGCTGGGGTGTATGTACAGCTGCAGCAACGCATGCACCAGCTGTATCTTTTATATTAAGACCTATACAAGTTATATCTGCAGTGATTTCTTGTTGTAAAGTTTTTTCTCTTGCTTGTTCATCTATCCAGGATTTGAATATATGTTCATATTCTTTTGTATTAACTAATTCTTTATATTTTTTAATTATATTATTTATTTCTGTCTCTGGTGGTGCTTCTTGTTTATTTTTTGCATATAACCAAGGATTTACACCAAATAAATAAGCTAATACCTCTAACTGACATGTACGAGCTGAAGGTAAACAAAAAGCAACATGATTCAGATCAATACAATCACGTATAGCTGCTAGACATCCTTTTTTATCTACACGTAGCCGCTGTTTCAGCTGTACACACAGCTCCTGACGACGATGGTTACATTTGCATCTACATATTTTTTCTATACCCGGGGGGGCAGGACAGCACGCTGGCTTGCTGCCTCGTTGCTGCTTGAACCCAACACCAGCACCACCCCCTCCCCCTCCTGCTGCAGCAGCATCATG